TAAGACAAGCGGAGGGAAGGGAACTTGAAGAAGTCATTGTGTGGCAGTGCCCACTGGCCTCTGAATTCGAAGGCTCTCAAGGACTCAGTGGAATGTATGAGCTGGCTCGATGCAGGACTCCACAGTTCGGTACGTAGGGTGTGTTTTTAAAAATAGTATATTTGGCTTGGGGTTGTAAATAGAACACTTTTCGAACAACTCCCGAACAACCCTCCGGTTGTTGTGAACAAGGGGGTTGTTACATGAATAGAATTATCCGATGACGAAGCGAGAAGATCAAACTTTTTAGACGCTGAGAATTTGGGTGGCGATGCTTGGGCTCCCAAAATAACTTGGATCCGCAATCAAAGGCTCCGAAAAGCGGCGTCATTAGAGCGTATTTGTAGCCCTCCAAGTCTTATCCGCTCTTGTCTGATCTCCATCTCGTTTTCTTATCTCTCGCTGGAAGCTTGAACTGCGTGAGAGGTAGAACCGGACATTTAGTCACTATTTATTGTATTCTGTACTAACTGTCGTTGTGCAGATCCCCGGATCCACGGTTCACAACAGCAACCAAGTTCATAGTTATCCTGTGCTCTACTTAGAAACTGGCTGCCACCCGACCTTGCATGCTTAACGTTTAGCGCTTATCCGAGACGGGTGTGAATGTTCAGAAGTCTCGAAGCACAAAAAAATTATCTCGAATACTTACAACATTTGCCATATAGGCAGCTGTAATTTTGGATTCGGCTTCTCAACCTGACTCTAAAGGATAATTCTATTTAACAACCCCCCTTGTTAATAACAACCCGGGTTGTTGAGGTTATTCGGGGGGGGGTTACTGGAAAATATGTTTTATTTTTGGATGCCACCAAAAATTGATAAGATCAGGAAAATCGACGCTTTGACCGCCGTTCTCGCAACATTTGGAGTCCAAAGAAGAGTATACACGTGCGTCTATCAGCCCATATCTATCGGAGCACCTTCACACTGCTTCTCCAATTTTCCCCCAATTTTCCCTCAATTTTCCATCTTGATTTGGGAGTTTCTGAGGAGTTTGACATGTACAAACGGTAAAATGCCTCGAACGCCATCTCCCCTGGACATTAGAACGGCCAGTAAAATTTAGGGGGTCAGCTCATATGATCTCCAACGTGCGTGATTTTTTTTCGGCTCTTTTAGAGCATTATCTGTACCCAAGCACTTCCCCGAACCCTTCCCGCCCCTTCCCGCCAAGCCCGCCATCAGCGACCATCAGATCTTGGCTTAAAAATCACAAAGGTTTTAAATAGAATATCTTTTCCAACAAACAACAACCAGGGTTGTTCTCAACAAGGGGGGTTGTTAAATAGAATAATCCGATTCTAAAACCCAGAGATTGCGATTCACAGTCGATTTTATGTTTGCAAAGCGTGATCATCCGAGGAAATCTGTTTCACCCTTCTTGATCACGACATCCAAACCCTCCGCGATTGGCGTATCGCCGCCCACCATATCGATGGCGAGACCGGCCGCATCCTCTCGGTCAAGCAGAACGGCAAGGGCTGTCGCAACATCGTCTCTCTATGCAGCCACGACTTGAGACCCGACTCCGGAGGATAGTAGGATAACTTACTGAAATCGTGGGGGACATGTGTGTTCGACCAATGGACGCCTTTCCTTTTCCGGGCTCGTTGTTCAGTCCGCCCGGGCGCAAGATCGTCCATTTGAAGGCGTCGCGTTGCGCGAGGTTCTTGTCCGCCTCATATTTCCACTTCATATACACGGAGATGTGCGTGCGGATACGCGTCGCGAGCGCGATGTCTTCCTCATTCTATGAAGGTTTGATAGGTAAGTAACAGCCCTGATCGAAGATTTGGAACGTTAACTCACGTAGTGCGCGGGGATCTTGTTTGGATCGCGAATATCGAGAGCAGAGACGAGAATCAGACGCGGGCGTGTGCCTTCTACGGCTTCAATCGCATCGAACACCTTTAGTGCGCCTTCATAGTCCACAGCCTTCGTGCGCTCTTCCCCGCCCTTGCCGCCTGCGCCGGCACTGAAGTACACGACGTCTGCACCCTGGAAAGCCGCGGTGAACTCGGAAACGACCGATTCTTCCAGCGAAAGGAGAAGAGGGGTCGCGGAGGCGGATTTTATGTCTTCCTCGTGCGCCGGTGTGCGGATAATTGAGGTGATGGAGTGGGAGGGCCCAAGGATGCGGGCGAGGCGCAGAGAAACCTGGACAAGGAACATTAGTAGGAACAAGGTTCATCACGCCAGCCTCAGCCTACGTTTCCGTGGCCACCAACGATGACTATTTTCTTGGGCATGTTTCTGTTTGTTGGTTTGGTCCTTCGGAAGTTACGGTACAAGGACGAGGCTTAGCTACGCTACCCCGCCGGGCCGGACAATAGCGTCATTGTTGGGCCGGTCCGGTCAGCCGATTTCTCACGGTTCATCCCCAATGTTGAATACCACAGTAGGGCGGAATGAAAGATTGTTGGATTCGGTTGTGGCCAAGCTACAATAAAAATAAAGAAGGATCCTGAATACAGAAGACTTTCACTCTCACCAATTTCCGAACAGAGACACGGGTCAGTAGTAAATCAAGGACGCAGCCGTAGTACGTACAGCAAAAATTGAGAACTCATCCCACCCATGCGTATTCTAGCATACTATAGACATTGGGATTTTTCTGGTTAAATCATAGGCCCTTGTAAGTTGTCGGGTTAAGCTCACTGGTTTTCTATCAGGTATGTTCGAGTTGTTGTCTCATGTAGCCCTCAGATAAATATCCTCGATAAAATTGTATAAAATTGTACATCTAGCGACGCCAAAACTATTTCCTACTGCGGCGTTTTACTCCCTCGCCAACGGTCGTGGCTCCCGCGTCCCAGAAAGTCCTCCGAAGCGTTATTGCCGTGATCCTCTCCACAATTTTCCGCGATCACCAGCTAATGTATACATCAGCCGGGACCTCAAACAAATAATATAAAAGATGGTGCTGACTTCACCAACCCTCATCTCGACGGGATTGTGTTCTGCATCTGTCTATAACGCGAATAAGTCAACACAACGAGGATGGGAACGATGTTGGGGACGCACGATTGCCGTGCGCCCAGACAAGCTGCCAGTAGATTCGACGGTATCGGAAAGAGAAGCCCGCAACTGCCGGCGCGCGTTGAGGGTCCACATCATCGAAAACGCGTAGAGTTTCGGGAGCACGATATTTGGCGCCGCAGACGCCATGGAACGCGCACTCGGGTAGACGTTAGGGAAGGTGAGGGCCACGACAAAGTTGAGCAGCGCACTGGAGTGGGAGGATGAGCGTGCGCGGGAGTTCTGGACCTCCTCGGACGTACCAGAGGGTTGCAGGAGCAGCGGTTTGGATCGTCAGACGAATGAGTGCGTCGAGGAGACCCGCGCTCTGTTTCGAGACGTGCTCTTTGTACTTGATCAGGAAATAAGCGGTACTTGTTGTGAGGGTGATATCGGCAACTGGTGAAAGGTCAGAAAGATGCCGAATACTACCGTCGACACTCACCCATCACCACTGGGAGATATATATTGACTGTCAGATAATATGGGTGAGATATGGGTGAAGACAACGCCCGCAATACCTACACCAAAACGCGACTTGGGTGAGATGTTCGAGGCCTTGGAAGATGTAATGGGTCTGTATATCGACGTAGCCAGACTCCTCAGTGTGTAAACTGAGCTCATGCCTAAGTCTGGCTTACCGCGATGACAATAAAGATGAAGCAGGCGATAAATAGAACTGATAGTGTCGCCACCAGATACCGATTTTTCGAAATAATAAGGAGGCGATAGCAGAAGTAGCTTTGAACATAGACGGTGATCATGGAGGCCTTGCATTTCGGATATGAGGAAGGCGGAGTTTCGAAAGATGTGACGGGCTTACGAAGACTCCGATTGTGTCTACAAACCAAATTCCAGGTGCGCCGGTGATTAATCCCATTGCAGCTTCAAGGTCGCCGAAGTTGACCACCAGCTGGAACCAGATGGTGGTGCTGGAGGTCTAATAAGCATTGGATACAGGTAATACGCCAGAAATGACCCACAATACTTGCATCGACCGCAGATAGGTCAACAGAACCAGAATCCCCACCATCGCCTTCAAAATCAGGGGGTCATTGTGATACGTACCAAAGTACTTGACAAACTGTTCACGTTATAAGACGTCAAAAAAGACAAGATACTGCATGGAAACACACTTGGGTAGATAGGACCCCCTGTAGTACCAGTTCGATGCATGTTCCTATGAGCTGTCATTGCGAAGTTGGACCATGAGTCCACATTGAGAGACTGAATCTGCGTACCCCAGGACCAAATAGATATTCAGCCTCGCGGTTGGGCATTTTATTCAGAGATGTATCAGGAGCAAGATATCAGAGTGTCTAATTACCCCTGTGTGGGATTGAGATGAATTCAAAGGAGTGAGACATACCCGCGGAAGCAAACTTGTCGGAGACGGGGACCCAGATCGAATGCATGGCGTGCACCGGGATATGTCACGGCAGATCCAGATTATGGATAGGACATTGAGATGGATTCCCTCATAATTCCCAATACTAATAGAACCCGTGCTAAGTACGTGCACGGTTTTCTGAATTCTTTTAGCCCGCCAAATGATGAACTGGAAATCAGCTCGAATTTCTCGAAGATTGGAATGAAGAAAGGTCGGAACTCGTAGAGAAGTTTTCGATTTGGGGCCAACCGAGTTGGTTCCTCGCATCCCGTGCCTAAATTTCCATGCACACACGATGGTACGAAGTCACCGTAAATACAATACATACAACACAGGGGAAATCAGACTGTTTCTTATCCTTGTGAGCAGCAAGTCTAAATCCTGGACCCTCAAATCTTACTCTTGGGTGTTGTTCTTCATGGTACAGAAACCAAGACAGAAACAATCGAAAATTGACAGCGTTTACAACTTTTGACCCCCTATTATGACCGGTCCGATCTTCCGAACGCCCTACCCAAGCTTACACTCCAACTATGCCGTGGCTCTCCGCCCTTCTTTAGCTCAGTTGGTAGAGCGTGAGACTGTAAAGGATCCCTGTTATCTCAATGTCACCCGTTCGACCCGGGTAAGAAGGATTTTTGCGGTGGACTCATCTAGATACGACTCGCGGTTTGATCACCACATGCATATTTTTTTGGACTGCTGTTTCAGAAATGAAGCGTCAATAATACATCGAGAAATGGCGAATGGATTACACTTTGGCTACGGTACTTTGTATAAATGGAACTTGGTACTAGTAGGTTCTACATATGCACATGGCTTCAAAGATTACCCCATCGAGACATCGCCAGCGACCCTAGTTCGTCAGCAGATCCGTGTGCCCCCGCTCGCTCTCCACCTCGCCCGGAATATCCTCAAGCTGTCACAAGTCATTAGTGAGTCGGTGAGGGAACAGCAGAAGAGGCAACGTACCTGGTCCAGGTCCACGAGACACTCGCCTATGATCTTGACCGCGCGGAGGAGATCCTCCTCAGTGATGACCAGCGGAGGCGCGAAGCGCACGCTTGAGTACACAATCAGCGCCGACCCGACAAAGCAGAGCGTGACTACGCACATGTTCACGTGCGTGGGCTTGGCGAGGACGCCGCGGCTCTTGAGGAGGAGGCAGAACTGCCACGCGGTGCGCCCGCGCACGCTCTTCGTCTCGTCGATGACAACGGCGTTGAGCAGCCCGCGCCCGCGCACGGTCTGCACGAGCGGTGAATTCAGCGCGCGCACCGCGTTGCGGAACACCTCGCCCAGGGTGGCAGCGCGAGCAGCGAGCTTCTCGTCGACCAGCACGCGCAGCGCGGTCATCGCAACGGCGCAACCGAGGGGGTTCCTGGAAGTTCCAGTAAGCATCTATCGTCGCAATTTGAGTGAGGAGAGGATACCCACCCGCCATAAGTACTACCGTGCTCGCCGGGCTTTATGCAGAGCATGATGTCCCGATCGGCGAGCACCGCGGAGACGGGGTAGACTGTAAGATGTTGCGCGTGAATACGAGCAAAAGGGGAAGATAGGACGAACGGACCTCCGCCAGACAGCGCTTTGCCGAGGAGGATCATGTCGGGGCGCACGTTGTCGTACTCGCATGCGAGCATCTTGCCAGTGCGGCACAGACCCTGCCATACACAGGTCAGCAGGAACAGGTGAAAATGCCACGGGAGCTTACAGTTTGGATCTCGTCGCAAATGAGCAGCACATTGTGCTTCTTGCAAAGAGCGTGGACCTTTGTCAGGTATCCGGGGTCGGGAACGACGATGCTGGTGCAGTGTGAGCAAGCTGCAGGTTGCAGGTGTACACGAGACTCAACGTACCCGGCCTCGCCTTGAATAGGCTCAACGAGGAACGCCGCTACGTTCTTTCCGTTGAGCTCGAGCGCCCGCTGCAAACCCGCCAGGTCGTTGAAGCGTATGCTCCGGAGCTCGTCCCCATCGAGGAACGTTGGGCCAACTCCTTCCAGGTAAGGTCCAAAACCAATCCGGCTGTCCGGGTCCGTGCTCATGCTATAATGCAATCAGAGCCGATGAGGAAGGGAGGGTCGTAATACGGACCTGATGACGCCAAGAGTCCTGCCATGGAAATTGCCCTCGACGCTCAGCACGACGGCCTTGCCATCGGGCACCCCCTTCTTCATGTACGCCCACTTGCGTGCAAGCTTGATAGCGGTCTCGACTGCCTCCGCGCCGGTGTTCATCGGGAGCACCATGTCGTAGCCGAACATGTCGGTTACGGTCTGTGCGAAGCGGCCAAAGACGCTGTTGTAGAACGCACGCGAGGACAGCGTGAGTTTGCCCGCCTGCTCACAGAGCGTCGCGACGATTCGGGGGTGACAGTGCCCCTGGTTGACCGCGCTGCGAAGAAAAACGGTCACCGGACCGCATGAGAAAATAACGAGACCGCCGCGTACGAATAAGCAGAAAGCATATCAATGTACTCTTTGCCTTCGGGATCCCATACTCTGAAAACCGCGCAATGGTCAGCTGCTAAGAAGGAGTCAAAGATGCACCGCGCACTTAGCGCCGAGGGCCTTGTCGAACACGACAGGGAGCGGGTGGTAGCTAGTGGCAAAAAAGACGCGTGAGTCAGAAATAGGGCCGAGAAAGAGTATAAGAAGACGGAACGAAGAACGAAAGATGGCTGGCGTTTCTCGCTGTTATGTTTTCCTAGCGTGCTTGTGGCTCCCACTCGCGCCCTTCCAGGACCCAATGTCGACCGGCAAGGTTTCTGTGGGGGCCGTTGGTTCTGTCGACGACAAAACACACCTAGAATATCGATGCGGGACGATACTCACTTGTGTGCGCCGTGCTCGTGCTCCAGCCGTATCACGTCCGCCGACGTCAAGTGTACAGGAGCAACGACATTCTTCGCCTTGGTGACCTGGTATTTTCCATTCCCATTGGTAGGGCTCGATGGAACAGCGGTTGGGGACATGTTAGTTCGTTGATGATGGTAAGTTTCTCAAGTTGTGGTGGTGAGATACCAAGAGTGCTGAAACGTATATATCACGACAGAGGAATACATTGTGATCGGCTATTGACTCCCTCCCAAGCTCCGCCCGACTTGTTCTATTCTGCTCCCACCCGTCACACGCGGAGGTGTCGAATCTCGTCCCTGACGGTGGCCTCGATAGGGTATAGCGTCCGGCAGATAAAGTCAATTAGGCAACATGTACGCTACAAAAAATTCAAGGAAACCGCGGCCAGAAATACTGCGACGAACAGTGGAAGGCGTCTTGCCTTGAAGAGCGACTGCCAAGAGGTATTGCTCGTTCATTCAGGAGCGAAGGGTTATCCGGGCGCGGCGGCGAAGATGTCACCAAGCGTCATTGCTGAGACAGCGAGCAGCCGCTCGTCTTCGATTCGGATACTCGATGCACGGATCAAAGACGAACGAACACCAGAAATCGAGGGGCGCGATAGCAAGATACTTTGAAAGGAGGGATACCGGCGCCTCGGTTGACGGCGACACAGAAGGCCGAGTTGTGTTGCATGCGAGCCTTCATAGTCGGTATGCAGCGTATCCCAGAAGCCCTTCTCAAGCTTGTCAGGATGTGTGCGAAAGGGGTGGATAGACACTCCGGTATAACGTCGGCCACGTAGGGTCGGGGATCAGGGAGCAGGAGCGAAACCGAAGGAGAAATATTGTTGTGGAGTTTTGGAAGTTAATGAAATGGGACTCAGATCTGGCGTCGTGAGCGTTTCCCAGGTGCTGGCGCATGTGAGCGCGTTATTCAGCAGGCTAGGCCGCCCGTTTATATCAATTCTCGTCGCTGCAGGACTTCAAGAGATGAGGAACGCTGAACAATTTAGCCCTGAGACAGTCAGTGCCATTGAAGCAAAACTAGGGGGGTCCGAGCGGTCGGACCTGTCCAGCTTTCGGGGGACAGCGATTTTTCGAGTCGGGTAGACAGTCTGCATAATTCTGCTAGAACAGCGTCTTCTGAGAGGGATCTGGGAAAGCGATCCTAGTGGGCGCGACCCGCATGCTGTGGGGTTCGACTAAATTTGGAGCCCAGAACAGTTGAATCCCGATAAGCGAGCTTGTTAGGGGGGCCCTTGGGTGCAGGCCGTCGGAAGGCTTGAGCTTGGAAGAAAGAGAAACGGATGTGCTCGAAAACAATCTCTACTAGCAGTTCGCATGCGTGCGGTCAACGGCTACTAGCAGCGATAAGGCATTGCTGAATGAGTTGCGCAACAGCATGCATACGCAAGAGCCACAGATGTTAGCAAAGATAATTTATTTTCATGAGTCCGAGAACGAGTGAACGGGCCGACGCCAAAGAAGGGTGCCTCTGGAAGCTAAGGCCTTAACATATATTAAGGGTTAATTAAGGGTCCTTTTTAAGGGTCAAATTAAGGCTTAATTCCCAAAAATGCATAAGTGCTGCTGCACTTTTTAAGTCCCATCTGTGACAAATTCCCGCCGTCTTTGCTTCACGCTGATAAGCATAGAACATGACCAGACTTGAAATCAATCAATTTCAATGTTCTTGTTCTACTTACTGAAGTAGAACAATGTTTATTCATTACTCTGCCCACAATGAGAGCCATAGTGAGGTCCAGACTGTTGGCTAAAGGCACTTCACAAGAGATTACATTGTATAGACTTGCCTGGTCACCGATACCACGAGGGTCAACGGCCAGGTGGGCTACAATGGAATTTCACGTAATTCCATGTTCAACCATTCGATCGAATTGGGACATTAGGAAGGTGTCATATATCAAGGACATAACACATACCATCCATCTAGACTGTGAATTCATAAGGGATCCGGATTGATGCCTTGGAGAGCTCAGGAATTGTTCAGGGACATTCAGTGACACTACCAGGATCAACAGCCTGCTGTGTATTTACGCGTAGATCATCAAAGATTGTATTTAAATGTAAATCAAGGTCCAAACCATTCGGTTGAATTGGGGCACCGTGGGAATAGTTGGGTGACAAAGGTGTCATCAGGCAGTCTATCTATAAGGCTAAGCTGGTTGGCCCGGACAATCTCTACCACAATTTATCCGGACACGCTATACTTGGCACGTCTAAAGATAACAAGTCCATCAAGATATGATGGCAACACCTTAAAACAGAAAGATAGACGCACAGCTCTCGGGATAGAGCATTTATTTAACTGTTTAACCAGGTCTTTTGATGCATGTACCTTTAAATAGCCAGGTCCGTTTATCTGTATATACCAAATGGACTGATTGTAGTATTTATTTCTTTTATCATGTGATGTATAATTCCTGTATAAATACTGGCAGGTTTCTAGTGGAAAGCCAGGGAATTCACCCCTTCTTGCTAGACGTACTCAGCTCAGCTGGTATTGTTGCTTGGGAAGCCTTGGATTCATTCAGAGTACCATTGGGAACTTGTTAGTTCTTTCTGTTATTATTGGTCAAGAATATTTCTTGGTTGTTGGATCTATGTGCGCATAAAGAATCTTATGGAAACAGAATTGTATCGGGTCATATCGGTTTCATATCGGGTCGTATCGGGTCATATTGGGTTTCATAAGGATTTAGGAAAAGCACACGGATTGGTACACAGAACACAGATATTATTGCCGAGAACATTGAAGGAGCACACGTCTTGA